GCCCGTGGACCTCTTGTTATAAGAATATTTTTGTTTTTCATTATGATTGATTGGTTTTATATTGTTTAAGGTCGTTTTTGAGAATTTGTCACTCATATGGAGACGCCTCCACCATTTCCCGGTGGAGAGCTGCAAACTTTTCCTATACTTGGCACTAGGGGCCATTGAGGGGGGCAGGATCTTTTTCGTGCCAGCAACTACTGCGGTTTATACTGTCTCATCCGAAGGACCGGTCTCCACGTCCCACAGTGGGGTTCGAAACCGCGACGTAATTCAAGGAAATAAACAATTCCTTTAGAAAATTTTGTGTATTGATACTTTTCCATTAAAGATGTTCTATTGTTTTTTTTTTCTCATGACAAAAACTGCAGAACTTTGTCTTTTTTTTATTCTGAATTTAAAAAAAATTATGCTAAATCAAAAGCATTTAAAGTTCATTAATGATAAGTATTTCGAAAGACGACATTGCTACCAAGTAAGTAGTTAAAGTAATTTTTAAGCAATCAAACCTTCAACAATACAATTTCCGAGGCACTTGTACATGTAGGAAGAGTCACTCAACTAGAGGCACTAAATGACTATCGTACAATACGGATGGACGATATGGAAGTGTATTCTAGACGTAGCTGCCTAAAGTTTACAGGAATCCCCGAAAATGCTGACGAAAGAACTGATCAAATCTTCCTAAACGTATTAAATAATTATGTTCTCGGCGCACAAGAAAATGATGGGCCTCGATCGCATCAGTAGATCCCACAGGGTGGGGAGACCATCTAAAAACGAATACTCGTCGACAACAAGGCAGAGTTCAATGTCACCGTGACAATATTGAAGACTTTATTTCAAATAGAGACCATGCATTCACTAATCCCGAAAAAGCTATCTAGTCATTTAACGAGAATGAACAGAACACTTACAAAATCTTCATCAACGAAACATTAACCAAGAAACACACAGAACTACTTTTTTTCATACTACAAAGCCCATGAAAGACAAAGCGATACAAGAGGTCTGGACTTACGATGAAAATATACTCGTGTAAACACGGGTATCTGGGGGGAAACAAACCATCAGGAGTTATGACGACCTACAAAATCTAAAATTTGACTTTGGCCAGTTTGAAAGAAAAAATTACCACACTTTAACATTACGCCATAATTGAATAAGTCGTGAAATCATGAAAATGCAGATATTCATATCCAGTGACGTAACATTTTTTGAAAGGGGGGGGGGGGGGGGGCAAAAAAAAAAAATGTTTTACATACCTGATAACGTTGACAAGCCATAAAAAAGGGAAAAAAATTTCCCCCCAAACTTTTTTACCCCAAATCCGAATTTGCCTCAAAAAGAGTGTCCTACCCTTCTTTTTTTATACATGCACATACTATATATTTACATTAACTTCCAGTGCCAAGGTTTCACATGTGTTTTTCTATTGTGACAAAACCTTTAAACTGGAAAGCACATTTTACTATAAATAAATTTCCTTGGAGCATTGAAATTTAAGGTCGTTTAGTTTGGGATATGTGTTAAAAATAATATTGACTTACTTTTATTGAAGTTATTTAATCGTAATAATATTGTGTTGAATATCTGATAATAAATGATTTAAGAGAAATAGCAACTCTAAACACGAGATATTTTGTTTTTATTGCTTTCCTACCAGACACTCTGCATGATTACATGAGTGCATGTTTTTTTCCCTTAAATTCTTCCAATTACTAATTTGGTAGAAAAATACCAAATCAAGGAAAAATGCAGCAATCCTTTGAATGCTATAATATCACTTTGCCCCCCCTTGTTTAATCCATATTGTATTATTTCAAGCAATTTTGTATCCCTTGAAATTTAACCCCAGGTTTAACCTGGATAAATGTGTACTTTTATTAAAGTTATTTAATCATGTAGGTGTCAGTTTTTCACACCTCTGTTGCCATAAATAAACAAAGGTACTAATCTGTATACATTGAATAAACAAAGGAGCTAGCTAGGACTACACACACTTTTATGTATGGTACATCTAAAAAAAATTATATTCGCCACTTATGAATTTCTTTTCGCCACTTTTGAAAAAAAAATTCGCATTTGACGACAATGGCGAATCACAGTTCGAGCCCTGATGCTATTAATACGTTTAATAATATCTTATCCCCAAAGAATTCGGTTGTGACAGTTCTACTTCACTGTCAGTTTCAGGAGCTACCGCTGTACATCTATGATCCTTCACTGATGTCGTCAACACATTCAGTTTTGGTTGGAATTTCAAGTGCTTTCCTTCTCCTAAATACCATATCATGGTGGCTACATGAGTACAGCACCTCAACAGTGCGTCCTTAACACCATATTATGGTTTCTACATAAGGACAGCACTCAATAGTGCATCCTAGATACCACGTTATGGTTGCTACATGAGCACAGCACCCAACAGTGCATGCACCAGCTTTGCACTACGAATACCAACCAACAACTGGATCGTATGGATCATCTTGATCTTGATCAAGAGAAATTGTTTTCCAGCTGATTTATGCTGAGATTGCATTTTCCCTGGAAGTTTTGTTTACTTTGATGTCCAATACCCCGTCATTTAGATGCTGGTCTGCATAATGGAGAGCTTTGGAGAGTTAGTAAACCCCACAAGTAATGGATCTTATGTAGTTGTCACTCAAACATGGAAAGGTGAAATCAGTACATTCGATGTTTTGCCAATGTATAACATAAGTCTTTAGAAGTCATAAGTCTTATACTTCTTGTTGAACTAACTTTGGCATCTTTGGTCGCTCTAACTTTTTGTGGCAATGTCACAATCATCTTAACGTTAAACAATTGCAGATAGCTGCAACTACAGTGTATGCTGATGCATTCCTTGAGGTAAGGGATATCCCTGTTACAGACAACTAGATCAGGGAATTTCCAGATCTTCAACCAAGCGTTGACAGACTATTGTGCCCATCTGATTTTGTGACCAGTCTGGACTTATAATCATCCTGAGTACTTAACTGCATCAGTTATGTACCCAGAATGGCAGGGAATTGGGTAGAAACCCCGATGTCGTTCAAAATATATCTTTTCACGAAAACCTCTATTAAGGATGAAAATTTCATCTTTTTAAAACCATTGCAACACGTTTTCTTCGTTTGCTGTTACCATGTATTTCAGAATTGACGCATCGTTATTCCGGCCATCGGCGTTAAAGGGACCCAGTATGCTAATGATATAGTCCTCAGTTGCGGTGATTACTATTGGCTTTATATAGGTCCTGCAGTTGAAGCAAGGTCATTACTATTGGCTTTAACAAAGGTCCATTATTATATTGATATTACGGAACTCGAAAGGAAAAGACTGAAGTTCTTAGTTGCAAAATACGTCGTATGCGCTTCAGCGATGGTCTCTCTGAAATATTGTGAAAACCAAGAAAAGAGGATAGGTAATCCGAGCAAAAGCTTTTTGCTTGTTTGATATATCCAAATATTTGTCTATGTTTCTTTTCAAAGTGAGATCCAATACTGGTAAATCTAAAAGAAATTTAGTCTTTTAAACTTTTAAAAATTAAAATTTCTCCTGCAGCATATGTGAAAAAAATGTTATGGATGTAGTGGAGTGTAAGACAAATAGCTGACTATGATGATTAATTGATTGTATGTTGTTGAACATCCCTCTTGAGAATTTTCCATTTATGGAGACGACACCACTTGCCAGTGGAGAGCTGCAAATTTTGTCCTATGCTCGGCACTCAGGACCATTGAGCAGTGAGGGATCTTTTTCGTGCCAGCACTTACTGCGACACGGGACCTCGGTTTACACGGTCTCGTCCGAAGGACTGGTCTCCACGTCCCCCAAAGGAATTCGAGGCCGCGACGTAGGCTTAAGGATCAACTCCTTACTTCTGAACAGCCAACAAAAGGGTCTAGAGCAAATGACTAAAAATACATCAAATATTAAACATCATTAAAAATATCTGCGCCATCAAGATGTTTTTTTTTCTGACAACAGACTACATATATACATGTTTACTAGCTTGTAACACGAGCTATTGGGAAGTAAATAAAACGTCACCATGGAAAAGGCTTATGACAATAAAAGAAGGATATGGAGATGTTAAAAAATGTCGTTTATAAGCAAAATTTAAGGAAATTAATTCAAAATTATTATTCAGTTGAACTTCTCAGGCCAGTGTAAAATGAAATCAACATAACAACAGTACAAAATGGACAGTGTATATTTTTCAAATCTACTATCAGAGCTTTCTAAAAGAAATATTGTCCCAGAAAGTGTGAAATGAAATAGTACATAAACAATATTTATTGAACCAAAGGTATCTAATATGATAGAAATGTTTTACACAAAGTCAGAGTCTCGGAGTTTAACCCCTGAATAAAAGGCTTACGAAGAAAGGACGTCTTTGTTCTATTCATCAAGATAAATATTATATGCAGATATATTTACAACTACTAAGGTCCTTTATAGAAAACATGGGAACATAAGACGAAGTATTAATTAGATCAACTCAGATTAAATAAAATGCAGTGAAAATTATGTGTTCACAAGGTGGTTCCCCGTCTACTCATGAGGCAAGCCTTACTAGTATTATACGTACAGTGCTTACTACGTAAGTATCCAAACTCAAAAACTAGTTTTAAACACCACTTAAACACTCTAGCTCTAAATTAGTCATGGTAGGTATATGTTATTTACGATATGTTTTATTTCCTCATTTTAACTGAAAGTAGTGCCATCTTTAAAATCAGTGCATGTAAAAAGTACTTCAAATGAATTTGATTTATTTTAATATTTTAGTAAAAATGTATAATTTATGGTGAAAAACTTTTTCGTGCATGATTTGAATGTGAACTTTTTTATTTCTTTCACAAGAATTTTGAAAGCAGTGCCATCTGAGTGCATCAGTACTTCGCATTAGTTATATTTCATGCGTATGTGAACTTTTTTATTTCTTTCAAAGGAATCTTAGAGAAAGATGACATAATATTTAAATATAATATATGCTGTTCGTATGATAACACTGCAGAAAAAGGAAGTTAAATAGCTTCATTTAAATGACCTACAGTGTTGTTCATTATTCTGATAAAAATGTTTTACTATATAAAGATTTGTGAAGGAACTACTTTTGAAAAGAACTATATATAGGAATTTCCCGCGGAACCGGTATGCATAACCTTGAAAAACAAAAGAAGCCTATTTCTAAATGAGTCATCTGAATTGTGGATCAGAAATCTGGTATGGTAAAACAGTTACAAAGCTGGATTCTATCACCTTAATGGATAAAGCAACATGCAGTTGTAGGCTTTAGTGCATCTTGAAGGTACATGTGTTTCAATATTTGATGTGTAAAATGCATCCAGATTTAAACCTCTGTTCAAAGAATTTATTTAAAGAAAGTTTCAGGGTTTACGTTTCATTTGTTAAATACATGTTAAGCTTTATTGTTTATTATAACAAGGTATAATCTTAACATTGTCTCTGATCAAAGTAGTATATTTAAACAATGAAATGCACTCTTTGGTTGTTAGCATGGGAATTAATGTTACAGAAAAAAAAGCATGCGAGTTCTGCAATTTATTCTGCAATAGCTGCAATGTTAATTCATTTACTGACAAACAAAAACGACGTATTGTTTGCATATCTGAACAGATAATCATCTAAGATTGGATTACGTAGGTTAAGCGTAATTTTATATTTTTGGTATGTTCGTCGTTGTTTGTTGATGTTAGAGCCATGCGCTGCTCAAGAAATCTATGCAGGCCCTATGCTAAGTGGTGCTTGCTGGCTGATTATGGACAATGGTTTTCTTGAGATATAAAGGCGAACAAATATTCAGTCGCTGCAAATATTTTTTGTTATAGTTTTTATTACATATCGAAGTATTTTAGTAAACTTTCTCAAATCCTTTTTCCTCCAAAACTTCATTTTTCGCCTACGTTATTCAGAAGAAGACAGTTTTTTTCGCATAATTATAGCCTTTATCATCTACAGGTAAAAAGTTCAGCTAACACTGTAACAATAATTTTACACTGTGTTTATTGGAGACAAATGTAAATGAGTTCTTAAGTAACAGTTACCCTTGATATATCCCTACTAACATTTTCTACAATTTCCTTCTTAATCTTTAAATTTTTCCCCAAGATTGCATTAAATATCTAATAATTGTAATAATAGATCACGATTTTTGTTTGTACTACACTTTTTATGTTTACACACGGTAAAAGAGTACAAGTAGTTTATGTTGTTAAAAACAACATAAACGTCGAAGTAGTCCAATTTTTGGCTTACAGCTTGTATTTGCACTTTTTGTTTATTCCCCGTAATACAAAATCTAAGAACACCAAAAATGTTTCCTCCGGGCCAAAAAAAAAAAAAACTTTGTTTCCCCTAACGCGACCGACCCTATCAAATCATGCCGACTGAAAAGTTTTTCTCCATAAGATTATTTCTATATTTTTTTATTGCTTATTTTTACTAATTTTTTTTAATAAATCAAATTCATTTGACAGATAAAATACCTTTTTACATGAATGGTCAATTGTGTTTTTCTGTGATTTTAAAGTGTTTGTTGGAAACAAATGGCGCGGTCCACAACAACATGGTCACAGAGGGTTAGTTAGTGATATAAAACAACGGCTACGTTTCAAGCTTATGCTTTTTGCTTATTAGAACTTTCCACTCTTGAAACATATCGTAAATAACATATACCATGACTAATTTAGAGCTAGAGTGTTTAAGTGGTGTTTAAAACTAATTTCTGAGTTTGGACACATACTACTACGTAGTAAGCACTGTACGTATAATACTAGTAAGGCCTTCCTCATGAGCAGACGAGGGAACCACCTTGTGAACACATAATTTTCACTGCATTTTATTTAATTTGATTTGATCTAATTAATACATGTAGTTCGTCTATGTTCCTATGTTTTCTATAAAGGACCTTAGTAGTTGTTGTAAGTATATCTGCATATATTTATCTTGATGAATAGAATTCAGACGTCCTTTCTTCATAAGCCTTTTATTCAGGGGTTAAACTCTGAGACTCTGACTTTGTGTAAAACATTTCTATCATATAAGATATCTTTTGTTCAATAAATACTGTTTATGTACTATTTCTACATAGTTTTGAAATCTTGTTCCAGCTTTCTGGGACGTCCAGTGTATATTTCTTTTATTAGACTCTAAATAGACTCTGATAAATAGCCCCCCCACTTTTTTCCCCAACATAACCTGATAGCATTGATTTGGCCCCCCCACTTTATAACCAAAATGATAGCAAGGATTGTAAGGAAAAAATTTGAAGTGATAGTAAGTTGGTTTTGAAAAAGTTGGCCACTACCCCCCCCCCCCTCCCCCCCACGAAATAGGATTTTCGACTTTGGGCAACTTTTTATATTTTGTTTTTTTTTTGTTTTTTTTTTTGTTTTTTTTTTTTTGCTTGTCAACTTTTTCAGGTGAGTAAAAAAAAATTTTATCAGGTTGGCCCCCCCACTTTCAAAAACGATGCTACGTGCCTGTGATAGCAGATTTGGAAAATATACACGATGTCCAGTCTTTGCGTATCCAAGAACCTTGTCTGTTTCAATGTTGGATTTCAATAAATTTACACTGGCCTGAGATAATTCAGAAGTTCAAATGAATAATAATTTTGAATTAATTTTCCTTAAATTTTGCTTATAAACGGTATTTTTATCATACTTTTCACAAATTGCTTTCTTTTGTACTTTTATTTATAAATGTATTTTCCAATAAATTTTAAACATGTATTTTTAGTCTGCTGTCAGAAAAAAAATATTTACCTTCCTACCTACCCAACTTAAGATTAAAGTGTCGGGTTAGGGGAAACAAAGATATTTTTAATGATGGCCCCGTTTGTTTAATTGCTGAAAATTGGACCTTGCACATAAGATTCGTATTTTTATTTTCTTGACTTGGAGTCTGACTTCCATTCAAAACATACTATTTGGTCATGAGCTACCATACGGGGTCATCTTCATTGCCACATACGGGGACAACAGTGTTTCTCGACCACATCTTCTTTATGTTCTTTATCTTGTTTTTCTGTTATATGGTGAATTACTTGAGGGGTTGAAGGTTGTAGATAGATTTATGTCATGGTCATCATTATTAATCTTGTGATTTGAAAACCATTGTGACAGACCACTGTAAAAGTTTCCATGTCCAATGGTTGTAGCTTGTCGATGCAAGCAGTCAGTACGTATTCCTCTAGTTAAAAAGTCTCCCTGTTAAGCTGATTCCCATGCAGAAAAAGACCTTGAAAATTGCAATTGCTTTCTGATTGGTGCGACACCTCAGGTACATGTTTTCTCCAATTTCATTATTTAAGAAGAGATGACTGTCAAATCACTGGTTCATTGAATTTCTCTTCTACACTGAGAGTATGTGAAGGTTACATCCCATTCATCTGGAAATCCACGCCTTTGCAATTAGGTAAACATTTCGAAAAACCTGTAATGAATAGCAACTGCGGTGGTTTAAGTGTGGTAGATTATGTAACACAAAACAGAACATCGATCTGCCGCTTTTCTTCAATTTCAGTCACTGTGACTTGTTTCGTAACTTTCATTTCATTTGCACATTTCCCTCCTAGGACAAACTGGTACGCTATTTGATCTCGGGTAAAAATCGTTGAATCTGGGACTGAATACTCTCATCTTATGCGCTCGGATCGAAAGATCGGGGGCTCATATTGTTTTCGTCCTGTTTATCTGTTTGTTTTTCTGTCTGTTGTCAACTTTAGCATTTAACCATTCGAGATAGAGACTTCATATTTGGTATGCTTACTCCTTCAAATGACATCAGGGTCAATGACCTTGTGACCTTGACTGTGACCTTTATGCTAAAAATTAAAGCTTTTTCGAACTTTCTTGCCGCCGGGGCATAGAGTTTCACAAACACATCTTGTTTTACTCTGCTGAGAAGATTATTTTTAATCTCACCAAAACACTCTGCGGGGTTCAATGGCTTTGTTCCATTTCTGTTTACAATTCAATGATCTTGCATTTTAATTTGCCTTCCGTGCTTTCTTGTAACCATTTCTCTGCTGTTGCCATTATTATTTTAAGAAAAACAGCTTCCCTAACTTTCTTTTGAACAGCCTCGTCGAGAGAGCCGAGAATCAAAATCATGGGGGATTTTGTTATCGCAGGTTTGGACCCTAAATCATCTGCAAAAATAAATACTTGTGCGTAGAACTTAAACAAGGGGGATTTTGTTATCACTGGTTTGGACCTTATAAATCATCTGCAACAATATACACATGTGCGTAGACCTTAAACAAGGGGGAAACGTTATCGCTGCTTTGGACCTTATCTCATCTGCAATCATATATACAGTACATGTGCGTAGACCTTAAACGTGGGGGGGGGGGGTAACTAAACAGTTATCGCTGGTTTATACCCTAACTCATCTGCAACCATATATTATATACATGTGCGAAGACCTTAAACAAGAAAGATGATGTACCCTAAGTCATCTGCAAATATATGCATGTGTGTAGACCTGATACGTTTGCTTACACCAATTACCAAACATTCTTTTTTTGGAGAGATCCATATAAAATTCCCATATAAGCTGTTCAAAGATTTGGTTTAGCTGAGATAGAAACAGCTAGGTCATCATTATTGGTACAGTGTATTGGCAAATTTGAATCCGAACAAATTGAAGGCATAATTTCATACAGACAGAATAAACCCAATCATGGAGAAAAGGGAATCAGTATTTTATAAATGAGTACAGAATCGGAACAATTTTTATACCCCCGAAACGAAGTATATAGCTTTTGCCCTGCCCGTCTGTTTGTCTGTTTGTCCGCAAAAACTTTAACCTTGACAATGACTTTTGACTGAATGGGACTATGGCTATCATATTTCACTGGTGTATTCCTTGTGACAAGACCTTTCTTTGGGAACCACCAAATTTGACCTCTTGACCTTGGAGTATGACACACTTTTACACCAAAATTCCAAACTTTAACCTTGGCCATAACTTTTGAACGTTAAGTGCTAGGGCTTTCCTACTTGACATATGTATTACTTATGACAAGATTTTTCATGGGATACCAACAACTTTGACCTTGGAGTTTGACCTACTTTTGAAAAACTTTAACATTGACCATAACATTTGAACGGTAAGGGCTAGGGCTTTGATATTTCACTTATGTTATCCTTGTGACAACTCCTTTTATTGGATACCAACAACCCTGACCCTTTGACCTTGACCCAAGAGTTTGACCTACTTTAAAAAAAAATAAACCTTGGCAATCACTTTTGAACGGGGAGAGCTAGGACTTTCCAACTT